AGGAGCAGGATAGTGAGGAGGGGCCCGCAGCCCCCATCACAGGACCAGTCTCACGCCCACCTGATCGCTGACCACAATTTTCTCGTGGGACCTCAGCATCCAGCAGAGCTGGATCACGGAGTCCCTTAAGGCCCCTCTATCGCCCCTCCATAGCCCCAGCATCCTCCCCAGCCTCCCAGAACAGGGCGGGGCCCACTCTGAGGTCAGGCAGGGCTACCCACAGCTGCGGAAGCAGGTACCGCTGGCCAGCATCCCTCCCGGGCCAGCAACCTCTGTCCCGTTCCCTGAGCACTCGGAGCTGACTTAGAGCAAAACTTCCTGGGATCCACCCTGTGCCCCAGCCCCGGCAAGACAGAGCCCTGGACTGGGAGGCAGAGCAGCTGCCACTGAGTCCTTGCCCCTGTCTGGGTCTCGGTTGTTCAAACTGAACGACAGATGCTCTCTGAGCTCAGGGTTGGGTAAACAGTGCACCCCAGGGCAGAAGAGGTCCATTCAGATTCCAGGCCAGTCCAGGCCCTGGCCTCTCTCAGCTCTGGAATCCAGGGGCAGGAGGACCAAGGCCCAGCCATGTGCCCAGTACCAGATGTGAGCCTCTTTCCTGTCCTCGGGCTTCCTTCTCTTGGCTCCTGCCCTAGGGTACCCACCTCACCCCTTGCCTGATGTCTAACTAGCAAATCCTTTGTGACAGCAACCTGTCTGAAGACCCAAGACCTCAAAGGGAGGAGCCCTGCTCGCGGCGCCCTCTGGTGGCCAGACGCGGAATATGGCCCTCAACCCCCATCCCAATCACCAGACATGGGTTTTAAAGCCCCAGCCTCGCAGGAGGCCCGCTGAATCAGAGGCTCTGTGTCACGGGTGGGCCCGGGAATTTACATGGTCACATTTGCCTCTGTAAGTCTGACGCCTGCTGGAGCCTGCAAATCTCTGCTGAATAGCCTAAGCTACAGGGCAGGGGGTGCAGACAGGGAGATTTCCAGGCCAAGGACCAAAAAATGGGGGCATTTAGGGTTTCTCCAGAACGGGTTGTGGGAAGGAAACTAAGCCAGCCAAAGGAGGGGGGGACCGTCTCCCATACCCCCTTGCCATTTCCTGAGGAGGAGAAATCTGGGACCCCTAAGGGTTATAATTATCTTTGGGATTTTGACAGTTTTTTCTTTTTCTTTTTTTTTGAGTTTCACTCTTCTTGCCCAGGCTGGGGTACAATGGCGTGATCTTGACTCACTGCAACCTCCACCTCCCAGGTTCGGGGGATTCTTCTACCTTAACCTCCCCAGTAGCTAGGATTACAGGTGTGCACCACCATGCCCTGCTAATTTTTGCATTTTTAGTAGAGATGGGGTTTTACCATGTTGGTCAGGCTGGTCTCAAACTCCTGACCTCAGGTGATCCACCTGCCCCAGCCTCCCAAGTTGCTAGGATTACAGGCATGAGCCACCATGCCCAGCCTGGATTTTGTCAGTTTTCTAGTAAGCTTCCCTTAATAAAAAACAATAGCCCAGGTACAGTGGGTGCATGGCTGTAGTCACAGCACATTGGGAGGCTGAGGCATGAGGATCACTTGGGCTCAGGAGTTGGAGACCAGCTTGGGCAACATGGCAAAACCCCGTGTCTACAGAAAATACAAAAATGAGCCAGGGGGCTGGGTGGGGTGGCTCCCAACTATAATCCCAGCACTTTGGGAGGCCGAGGCCTGGGATCACAGATGTATGCCACCACGCCTGGCTAATTTTTTATTTTTTTATTTTTTTTTTGAGACGGAGTTACCCTCATGTTACCCAGGCTGGAGTGCAATGGCGCGATCTCAGCTCACCGCAACCTCCACCTCCTGGGTTCAGGCAATTCTCCTGCCTCAACCTCCTGAGTAGCTGGGATTACAGGCACGCACCACCATGCCCAGCTAATTTTTTGTATTTTTAGTAGAGACGGGGTTTCACCGTGTTGACCAGGATGGTCTCGATCTCTTGACCTCGTGATCCACCCGCCTCGGCCTCCCAAAGTGCTGGGATTACAGGCTTGAGCCACCGCACCCGGCCAATTTTTGAATTTTTACTAGAGACAGGGTTTCACCATGTTGGCCAGGCTGGTCTCCAACTCCTAACCTCAGGTGATCCACTTGCCTCAGCCTCCCAAAGTTCTGGGATTACAGGCATGAGCCACCTCGACCAGCAACAGTAATAATTATATTATATATACGTATTTTTTGAGATAGAGTCTCACTCTGTCACCCAAGCTGGAAAGCAGTGGCTCAACCTTGGCTCACTGCAACCTCCACCTCCCAGTTTCAAGCAATTCTTCTGTCTCAGCCTCCCATGTAGCTGGGACTACAAGTTCCCACCACCAGGCTGATCCTCTCACCTCAGCTTCCCACGTTGCTAGGAATACAGGTGGAAACCACTACTCCTGGCTACTTTAAGCCTCAGCATTTTTTTTCAAGATGGAGTTTCACTCTTGTTGCCCAAGCTGGAGTGCATTTAGGGGATGATCTCGGCACACTGCAACTTCTGCCCCCCAGATTCAAGCAATTCTGCCTCAGCCTTCTGAGTAGCTGGGATTACAGGCATGTCCCCCCACACCCAGCTAATTTTTTGTATTTTTAGTACAAATGGGGGTTCACCATGTTAGCTAGGCTGGTCTCGAACTCCTGACCTCAGGTGACCCGCCCACCTCGGCCTCTCAAAGTGCTGAGATTACAGGTGTCAGCCACCATGCCTGGCCCAAACCTCAGCTTTTAACCTGCCTTGACCAACAGCCAGCAGGGCTCTCAAGAGGACATTCCCATGTGGAAGAATGGGGGGCTAGGTCACTCAGCTTCATGGAGAGTGGCAGGAGGCTCTTTTGCATTCCTTGGGGTCCACCCAAAAGCCCAGAGCAGTCTGTCCTTGCCCACAGGCTCCCCAAATCCCTGAAATCTGAATGTGCCCTTTGGAGGCCCAGGCTGCTGCTGTGGGAGGCAGGTGATGCAGAGAGACTTTAGGGGATGGCGGGGGTGGGGGTGGAGTGGGGACAGAGAATCCATTTCCGGCAACCGGGCTGCAAGCCTGTAGGACGGGCCTCTCCTCTTGTTTCTGCATGTGCCTAGACAGATCCTTTCACTCCTGGGGCCTCAGTTTCCCCATGCATGATCTATGATGAGATCATGTGCTATGTAAACCAAAACACCATCCCACAGCTGTTAGGAAACAGGCTTAGTGAGCGGAAGGGCCTTCTCTCTGGAGCCATTAGCCATCTAAATGCAGACCTGACATAGACCTGCTTCCTGGTCCCAGAAGGAGGGCCTGTTTTGTTTTGTTTTTTCTGAGACAGAGTTTTGTTCTTGTTGCCCAGGCTAGAGTGCAATGGCGCAATCTCGGCTCACTGTAACCTCCTTGTCCCAGGTTCAAGTGATTCCCCTGCCTCAGCCTCCGGAGTAGCTGGGATTACAGGCACGCACCACCACACCTGGCTAATGTTTCTATTTTTAGTAGAGATGGGGTTTCTCCATGTTGGCCAGGCTGGTCTTGAACTCCTGACTTCAGGTGATCCTTGGCCTCCCAAAGTGTTGGGATTACAGACGTGAGCCATCCCACCCAGCCCAATATAAAAGAATGTTTTAAATTGCCTACTTCCCCCTTATCTGCTAAGACTCTTTTTTTTTTTTTGAGATGGAGTTTTGCTCTCGCCCACCCTGAAGTGCCCCTCACCATGATTAAGAATGGGCAAGTGAATAAGCAGAGGTCTGGAATTCTGGGCATAGACATTTCAATGCAATGGCACAATCCTGGCTCCCCGCAATCTCTGCCTCCCAGGTTCAAGCGATTCTCCTGCATCAGCTTCCTGAATAGCTGGGATTACAGGCATGTGACACCACGCCCAACCAATTTTGTATTTTTGGTAGAGACGGGGCTTCTCTGTGTTGGTCAGGCTGGCCTTGAACTCCTGACCTCAGGTGATTTGCCTACCTCAGCCTTCCAAGGTGCTGGGGTTACAGGCATGAGCCACCAGCCTTGGCCACCCTAAATATTTGAAGCTGGTGCTCTAGGAGGTTTGATTTGCTGCTTCAAGGACTTTGAGTGTGTCACCATCTCTTCCCAGGCACGTGGATCCAGATCTGATGGACTGTTCATCAGAGGGCCCCTCTGAGGACAGGGCCTCTTCCTAACCTTGATGGGCTGCAGCATAGGGGGTGCCTGCCTGGGATGAACCCCACCTTCAAGAAGGCAGCCCAGAGCCCCTAACCCCCCGAGCCAGTGGGAGGCAGGATCCCCATGTCTTGGCTGAGAAGGCCTGGGGTGGTACCCTAAGTGCCTTGGGGAAAAGCAGGGAGTGAGACCCCAGCTCCAGGATTCCAGGCTCAGTTGAGTTGGGGCTTTGCCATATGATTATAATCATCATCGCAGACCTCAAGTTCAGTATTTTAGTGGAGGAGCTGTGAGGCTGCCCCAGGCTGGGTCTGTGTGTCTCCTGAGCCAGGTTCCCATAGCATCACTGCCTAGTCTGTGACCTCGGGTGAGTATCTTTTGGAGCACCAGTTTCCTGATTTGTAAAGCAGAGATGAAAGTGAAAATATCAACAACCTCACAGAGTTTTTTAAGACAGTATCTAGCAAGTGAGTGCTCAGCAAATAGTATTGAGTGCTCAGTAAACAGTAGTGAGTGCTCAGCAAATAGTAGTGAGTGCTCAGCAAACAGTAGTGAGTGCTCAGTAAACAGTAGTGAGTGCTCAGCAAACAGTGGTGAGTGCTCAGCAAACAGTGGTGAGTGCTCAGCAAACAGTGGTGGGTGCTCAGTAAACAGTGGTGGGTGCTCAGTAAACAGTGGTGGGTGCTCAGTAAACAATAGTGAGTGCTCAGTAAACAGTAGTGGGTGCTCAGTAAAGAGTAGTCGATGTTGCCACTGCTGGCATTCCCATCACTCCCCCAATGCCCAGGAGATGGCTCAGGCAACCTCCACTCCTCCTCGACGGGGTTACCTCCCACTTCTCTCGTCCATGCTCCTGCACCTGAGGAGTACGAGGCACCAGGCCACTGCAGCAGGCCCACAGGCCATCAATGCTTTAATTGCGTCAGAGGCGGGCACTGGGCAGCTGTGCTGAGGTCTCCCCAGCAACTGGGCCACAACCAGCTCGGAGCTGCCACTCCAACAGCGGAGTGGAGAGCTGGGGTCAGGCCACAGCCCTGGGCTGGGGAGGCCTCTGGCAGGGCCCCAACCCCAGAATGAGTGATCCTCACATCTGTGGCCTGCAGACCCCTTTTCCTTTTGCCAAGGAGTCTGAGATGCTTCATGCCCATCAGGCCATGGGGTGGCCTTCATGGGAGACCTGCGGGGCCAGGCTGGCCAGACATGGCCAGAAAGACTTCCCAGGGCAGGTGCTTGGCTCCCTGCTCCAGGGTAGGCCCTGGTGTAGGACCCTCAAAGGGGTTGTGGCTGGGGTGGTCCCGGGAGGCATTGCTCCAAGTGCACATGAGGTGGCAGCAGGGTCAGGCGAGTGCCGGTTCCAGGGACATCAGGAGGGAGGGTAGAAGCCCAGGGAGTGTGCAAGGCTGCTGGGATGAGGGAGCTCAGGGGCTACCAGCTAACCAGCCTCAGCTCAATGGTTTCTCCATCCTTGGGTCTGTAGTCAGCAATACCTGCAGAAACAGATTGAGCAAGGCGGGATGAACTGGGCAGAATATCGCACCCCGCAAACTCATCTTCCAGATCTCCCCGCTCTGAGGCCAGGGTCTGTAAGATCCACTTGGGGCTTGGTGGTGGGAAGCTGGAACCTCCCCAAAGCCCACTCAGAGACTCTGAACTTAGCTTCCTACAGGGTTCCAGAGGCCATGGGCTCATCTGGCAGTAAAAACTCCTGACAGGCAGGGTCACTGTCTTTGTAATATCCCAGGGGGCATCAGGAAGAGAAACTTGCCCAGTGTGGTCTGAAGAGAGAACCAGGACCATGCATGAAGCCACCCGGAGTCAGTTTTCTCTCCCTAGAGAGAATCCAGGCTCTAGGAGGACGCCTGGATTCAAGCCCCAGCTCTGTCATTCATTAGTGCTATAACTCTGGACAAGTTATTTAACCTCTGAGTGAGTGAGTGAGTGTTGGCGATCTTGGTGATGTAAGAATGCAGCCTGCAGGGGAACTGAAAGGGCCCTCTGAGAGCCAGGTGTCAGGAATGTTTCTTTTTTTTTTTTGTCTGTTGAGACAGAGTCTTGCTCTGTTGCCCAGGCTAGAGTGCAGTGGCGTGATCTCAGTTCACTGCAGCCTCTGCCTCCCGAGTTCAAGCAATTCTGCCTCAGCCTCCTGAGTAACTGGGATTACAGGTGAATGCCACCACACCCAGCTAATTTTTCTATTTTTAGTAGAGACAGAGTTTCACCATGTTGGCCAGGCTGGTTTCGAACTTCTGGCCTTGTGATCTGCCTGCCTCGGCCTCCCAAAGTGCTGGGATTACAGGCGTGAGCCACTATGCCCAGCCAGGAATGTTTCTTTTCAATGGAGGTGCTATGGTCCACAATGTCTGTGTTCCCCCAAAATTTATATGTTGAAACCCAACCCCAAAGGTGATGGTATCAGGGGGACTTAGGGCCTTTGGGGAATGATTAGGTCATGAGGGTAGAGCCCTCATGAATGGGTTGGGAAACTGCCATTATAGGTTGAGCAGGGTGGCTCACGCCTGTGATCTCAGCACTTTGGGAGGCTGAAGTGGGCAAATCACTTGAACTCAGGACCAGCCTGGGCAACACGGTGAAACCCAATCTCTACCAAAAATACAAAAAATTAGTCAGTACTTGTGGCATGGGCCTGTGGTCCCAGCTACTCAGGAGGCTGAGGTGTGAGGACTGCTTAAGCCTGGGAGGTGGAGACTGTAGTGAGCTGAGATCCTGAGACTGACTGCACTCAGCCTGGGTGACAGAGTGAGACCCCATCTCAAAAAAAAAAAAAGTTTTTTTAAGTACCATTATAAAAGATGCTTCTTCGGTAGGCAAGGACCAGGAAAATATTTTTTAAAAAATTTTTTAAAAAGGCCCCAGAGAGTTGTCTTGTCCCTTCCACCATGTGAGGCCACAGCCAGGTACCACCTATGAACCAGAAAGTGAGCTCTCATCAGACACTGAATGTGTGGGTGTCCTGATCTTGGACTTCCCAACCTCCCAGACTGTGAGAGATACATTCCTGCTGTTTATAAGCCACCTAGTTTATGGTATTTTGTAATAGCAGCTTCCATGGACTAAGACAAAAGGAAACTCAAATTATAGCTCCCATCCACTTTCTACCGGAAGATAGGGGAGTGATTTATGCAATGGTTGATTGGGAATAAACTAGGTATGTGTAGCCTGGGCTCGCTCTCTCTTTTTTCCTCCTTGGAGCAAGCTTCTTGCTAGACTCGAGGGCAGAGTGAATAGGAGGTAGAGTCTACAACTGCCCAGTCTACTTCCTGGCTGGGTCCACCTGGCTCTCACCCTAAGCTACATCCTCCAGTCTTTATCAGTAATAGAACTGGCCAGACTTGAGGTCTCCATCTGTAGCTTCTATTTTTTTATTTCTCAATTGATTCAGAATGATGGCAGAAAAAGGAATGCTTTTTAGTGGGCTCCTTAAGAAAGTTCCACCTTATTATTTTTATTTATTTATTTATTTATTTATTTTTGAGACAGTCTTGCTCTGTCACCCAGGCTGGAGTGCAGTGGCACAATCTCACTCACTGCAACCTCCGCCTCCCGGGTTCAAGCAATTCCCTTGCCTCAGCCTCCCGAGAAGCTGAGACCCACAGGTACACGCTACCACACCCAGCTAATTTTTTTGTATTTTAGTAGAGATGGGGTTTCACCATGTTGGCCAGGATGGTTTCAATCTCCTGACCTCGTGATCTGCCCACCTTGGCCTCCCAAAGTGGTGGGATTACAGGTGTGAGCCACCGCGTCCGGCCAGAAAGTCCCACCTTCTATAAAGCACTCGCCACAATGCTTGACACATGGTAAATGCCCCATAAAAGTTCTTTGCAGTTGGAATATAAAAGCAATTTAAGCTGGGCGTGGTGGCTTACATCTGTAATCCCAGCACTTTGGGAGCTGAGGTGGGTGGATCATCTGAGGTCAAGAGTTCAAGACCAGCCTGGCCCAACACGGTGAAACCCCATCTCTACTAAAAAATACAAAAATTAGCCGGGCATGGTGGTGCAGACCTGTAATCCCGGCTACTTGGGAGGCTGAGGCAGGAGGATCGCTTAAACCCAGGAGGTAGAGGTTTTGGTGAGCCAGGATCATTCCACTGTACTCCAGCCTGGGCGACACAGCGAGACTCCATCTCAAAAAAAAAAAGATATTAATATTAGTTTTGCCAACTAGAAAATTTTGAATTATACATGTGGGCAACATTTTCTTTCCACTGGATAGCATTAATATAGAGTGTGGCTTCATTTTTTATGAAAAACTTACTGGCATATTTTTTAAAGTATCTAGAAGAAAAGTTAAGTAATTTTGGCAGGCAAGTGGCTCATGCCTGTAATCCCAGCACTTTGGGAGGCAGAAGCAGGCAGACCACTTGGGGTCAGGAGTTCAAGACCAGCCTGGCCAACATGGTGAAACCCTGTCTCTACCACAAATAGAAAAATTAGTCTGGCATGGTGCTGTGTTCCTGCAGCCCCAGCTACTCAGGAAGCTGAGGTGGGAGGATCACTTGAGCCCAGAAGGTTGAGGCTACAGTGAGCCGAGATTGTGCCACTGCTCTCCAGCCTGGGTGACAGAGCAAGACCCTGTCTCAAAACATTAAAAAATCTAGGCTGGGCACAGTGGCTCACGCCTGTAATCCTAGCACTTTGGGAAGCCAAGGGGTCAGGAGTTCAAGACCAGCCTGGCCATCATGGTGAAACCCCATCTTAAATAAATAAATAACATTAAAAAATTAAAAAATAAAAGACATTTCGGCTGGGCGTGGTGGCTCATGCCTATAATGTCCAGCACTTTGGGAGGCAGAGGCTGTCAGATCACCTGAGGTCAGGAGTTCGAGAACAGCCTGGCCAACATGGTGAAACCCTGTCTCTACTAATAATATAAAAAAATTAGCTGGACATGGTGGTGGGCGCCTGTAATCCCAGCTACTTGGGAGGCTGAGGCAGGGGAATCACATGAACCTGGGAGGCAGAGGTTGCAGTGAGCCAAGATCGCACCACTGCACTCCAGCCTGGGCAACAAGAGGAAAACTCGGTCTGAGAAAAAAAAAAAAAAAAAAAAGAGACATTATTTCTAGGTAGTGTATTCTAGGTGATTCTAATTTTCTTCTAGGTTTTTTTTTGTTTTGTTTTGTTTTGTTTGAACCTACCTGGTTTCCTAGAATTTCCACAATAACTTACATAAACATTCTAAGACTTCAGTTCAATATATGATATCCAACCTTGAGCATCAGTGATTTTGTGATGCTGTGGAGGGTGCTAGGGAGAGCTGGGGTGAGCTGATGAAGCCTCATGTCTGGGTAAGCCTGGGCTAGGAGCCACACCCAGGGTGGCAGGCCACGACTCACCTTGCTGCAGGGGAGTGTTGGGGGCTTGGAGGAGCTGCCAGAACTCCCTTTTCCCAGCCGCTTTCCCCATCACAGAGATCAGGTAGGGGCCTGACAAGGAGGCCTGTGTTTCGTATCTACAAAAGGCAAAGGCGAAGAGAGAGAGAGAGAAGAGGCGACTGTTGTCCCTAGCGGGAGAGGCAGAGCTCACCCACAGCAGCAAATTCCTTTCGTCACTTCTTAAAACTCTGGGCTGGCACTAGTCAAACCCTTCCTGGGCCACATGGCCACAGGTCTGTGTCCCAACCTCCACCTCCTTCCCCTCCAGACCACCCCCCGCCGCCGATCCTGCCTGCTCAGGCTTCATCCTCTCCACGCTGACCATGACCATGGCCCCCAAGAAAGGGGCAACTATTATGTTATCAGCTCAGCAGCTGTCCCCTCTCTAAGGGGCTGATGCTATGGGGGATGAGAATTAGAAGCTGCAGGCATCACCTAGAATGTGTACAATGAGAGAGGGTGAAGCCTGCATGCAGAGAGAGGCAGCGTCATAGGAGGTGGAGGCAGAGACACCCAGCAGTGGCACTGGGTCTCTGTGGCCCAGGGGCACTCCCCTCCCCTCTTCCTGGGGCTGCATGGCCCAGCCTCCTCTCTGATTCTACGTACCGTACACCTACTGTTGCAGAGAGGGCTGGAGTTCTATTTTTTTTTTTTTTTTTTTTTTGTGGGGGGAATGGAGTCTTGTTCTGTTGCCCAGGCTAGAGTGTAGTGGCATGATCTCAGCTCACCGCAATCTCCGCTTCCTGGGTTCAAGAAATTCTGCCTCAGCCTCCCAAGTAGCTGGGATTACAGGCGTGCACCACCACGCCCTGCTAATTTTTGTATTTTTAGTAGAGACAGGGTTTCACCATGTTGGCCAGGCTGCTCTTGAACTCCTGACCTCATGATCTGCCCACCTCAGCCTCCCAAAGTGCTGAGATTACAGGTGTGAGCAACTGTGCCTGGCCTGAATTTCGAATTTTGGCCCTGGCAACCAAGAGACTCCTTACTCACGCTCCCCCTTCCCTGAGCTTCTGGCTTCCAACTCTGATGAGTTCCTGCAGTCTATCTGGATGCCACTGCCACAGGGAGCCCCTTAAAACTCCGTGGGCCAGGTCCTTTCTCCCTGCCACAGGAGGAAGCAGCATGATCGGAGCTTCCTCTGGAAGAGGGGCTTGAAGAGATGAGTGGGATTTGCCAGTGGAGAAGGGAGGATAGCGGGGCAGAGCTGAGGAGGCAGAGAGAGCAAAAGCACACAGGTGCACAGAATTTGGGGGAATGGTTTTTCAGAAGAGTGGGGTCCGGCCAGGCGTGGTGGCTTATGTTTATAATCTCAGCACTTTGGGAGGCTGAGGTGGGTGAATCACCTGAGGTCAGGAGTTCAAGACCAGCCTGGACAACATGGTGAAACCCCATCTCTACTAAAAATACAAAAATTAGCTGGGCATGGTGGTGGGTGTCTATAATCCCAGCTACTCCAGAGGCTGAGGCAGGAGAATCACTTGAGCCTGGGAGTGGAGGCTGCAGTGAACCTAGATCACACCACTGCGCTTCAGCCTTGGCAAGAGAATGAAACTCTGTCTCAAAAACAAACAGACAAACAAACTAAACAACAAAAAACCCACAAACCTATTTGGGGTGATTTAGGCGAAGGGAAAGTGCTGTTCTAAGGAATGTCACAGAGCAGCTTCTTTTCCCATTCCTTAATTCTACAGGGCCACGTGGCTGTTCGGGGCCACCACTCTCTACATCTGACCGTGTGTCTGCAGTTGAGCTTTCTCTGCTGTACATTCAGGGGCCTCAAACGTAGTCTTCATGCCCGAACCTCATTCAGGCATCCAGGAACACTAACAAGGGAACTATGTCTCAGAATGGTGTCGATGATGTCTTCCCAGAGATCCCCAAGCTCTGAATAAAAACGTTAAATTCTATTTGTCTTTCATTTTGATGCTAATATTGAAACACAAATACCAGCAGGTTCTGGGTAATCTTAGTCTGTGGGTCTGAGCCCTCCCCAGGACACTCAGCCTGTGTGGCCGTCAGTGACTATGCACTGCACTATGTGCCACAGGCCACCAGGAAGGGGACGGAGGTGGTCCTCACAGTGAATGAAGTGGCTGGGCAGGGCAGGGGTGCCCAGGCTTCACTGCTCAGGTTTCACTGCAGCTCAAATACAGGGAGGTGCTAAAGCGCAGGCCGGCACCTCCGCAGAGAGTCCTTATTTAAATGGTACTGGTTTTTACTAATTTACAAAGTTGTTGGGGATTTATAGCTGTCTCGAGCTAGAAAGAGAAAGGACCCTTTTTTTTTTTTTGAGTTGGAGTCTTGCTCATGTTGCCCAGGCTGGAGTGCAATGGCTCGATCTTGACTCACTACAACCTCTGCCTCCTCTGCGCAGTGGCTCAAGCCTGTAATACCAGCACTTTGGGAGGCTGAGGTGGGCGGATCAACTGAGGTCGGGAGTTCAAGACCAGCCTGGCCAACATGGAGAAACCCCGTCTCTACTAAAAATACAAAATTAGCCTTGGTGACGCACGCCTGTAATCCCAGCTACTTGGGAGGCTGAGGCAGGAGAATCGCTTGAACCTGGGAGGGGGAGGTTGCAGTGAGCCGAGATCATGCCATAGCACTCCAGACCAGGTGACAGTTCAAGTCT